GCTGTCTGCGCCTGAGGAACGCGGAGGGTTGCGAGGCATGCCGGGAATAGTAGTCCTCTGAGCGCCGGCGGCCGCCATGGGCCGACCAGGGCACCGCCCGGAAGAACTATTACTCCCAGCGTACCCTGCGGCTACGGGGCAGTAGAAAGGCCAGAAAGGCATTGTTCTCTGTCAGGCTGGGTAGAGACAGGAGGGTCCCGCGGAGGATGGAGGAAAAACTCCCCACCGGCATCAAGCCCTACCTGGACAAGCTCACCTTGGGCGTCACAAGGATCTTGGGTGAGTGGCGTTGAGCTACAGCCCACGCGGCGGGGGGAGGCCGGGGGCAGGCCGTGGGCGGGGGGAGCCACCCGTTTGTGACAGCCCCTCCTGTGAATCGCTCAGCTGAGCAGCCTATGCACACACACAGACACATCCTTGTTTCAGGAAGCAACGAGAGGAATCCCGGATCTCTCGACTTTAGGAGTTTCATAAACACCAGAGAAGGAGAAGGTGGTGTTTTATGAAAAATCATGGAATCATTGAATGTTAAAGGATGGGAAGAGACCTCAAAGATCATCCAGTCCCAGCCCTGATGCCATGGGCAGGTTGCTCAAGGCCTTATCCAGCCTGGCCTTGAACACTGCCAGGGTTGCCTGGCAGTGTTCATGCCCAGCTTCTCTGGGCAAACCTGCCAGTGTCTCATCGCCATCAAAGTGAAAATCTCTGTAATACCCAACCCAAATTTCCCCCCTTTCAATTTATATCCATCACTCCTTATCCTCTCACTTAAAGCTCATAATGAAGAGTCCCTCTCCAGCTTCCCTGTAGGCCCTCTCCAGATACTGCAATGTTCCTATGAGGTCTCCACACAACCTTCCTACCTAAATCGTGCCTAAATTTGATCCTCTGTGGTTAGGTAGGGTCAGTGTGCCCCATGAAGGGGAGTTTGGCATGGTTCATCAGTGTTCTGGTAGAAGGCCGATTTGTCAATCTGCTTGGGATCAGATCCCCATAAATAGTTGCCCTGCAGTTCATTCCCACATTGAGACTTGTTCTACAAAATGCCCTGATTGTCATTTCCAGGTTTTGCTCAGATATTGAGCCTTCTTGCATCCCCTCAGCTCCCTCTGAAGTTCAGCAGGATGCAAGGCATCCTCAGACATCCTCAGACAAAATTTTACTCATATCAGTGGAATCACAAGGATTTGTGCAAGTATTTGTGTGTGCAAAGGATTTCAACATTAGACCTTTCACACATCAGCAGCACAGAGCACAGGACTGTCTTATTTCTAAGGCTGCAAAGCCATACATCTATCTCAAACTATGTGTACAACAAGATTGCTAATTGCAGTCCTGGAATTTCTTCCTGGGAATCTTAAAGCCAAAAGTGAGCTCTGTTATTATCTCACCCCAAAGAGGCATTGAGTTTCACATGATAACCTCAGTGTATCTGTAGTTGCACATGGGTTTGGATAGCTGCTCAGACAGATGAGATTAAAAGATCAGGGTTAAATTCTTTCTCTGAGCTTCAGTGAGGACAGGATTTCACCCTCAATCTCTGATCAGTGTTGTCATACTGACTTATTATTAGACTTCTTGAGGGAGGTGGTGGGTGGATTTTTTTCCTGTTTGTTTGTATTGTTAGTTGTGAGGTCAGGATAACGTTATCTCTGCTCTGTGAGTGAAACTGATGATGATCATCATGGCAAAAGCTTCTTTGAAATAGCTCTTTAAAAAATTACTAGCCCTGCCCACATTTTCACCACCCTCAGGGGTGTGAGAGGTGGGAGATGTGAGCTGTGTCCGAATGTTGTGTTGCCATATAAATGGTTTTGGGTAGGTGTTATGTCTACACCAGCAGGACATGGCAATGCAGGTATGGCTCTGAAAGTCCTGCAATGTCCCTTTCACATGGAAGGTGTTTCCTGCTTTGTATTTTTTTCTTTTTCCCTCTGTGTTGCTGACAACTTGTACTCTGCAATACAGCAATGTCCATCTCAGTGATGTTTTACTCCTTTTCTCTGTCTCTCCACACCTTCTGGGAATTAGGCACATTTTTTCCAGTGAAGTAGTCCAAGGCATTTCAACTGTGCCACCAAATTAATTAGAATTGCTTAGCTAATTGGGAAACATAACCAGTCTGTTCAGTGCTTGTTTCTTTCAAATAACAAAGGGTATCTCATTCAAAGTGACGCCTCACTCTCTATTTATTACTACTAGAAACTATCTTATTTTAAATCTTTCGGAAAGCCTTATGAAGTCACTTGATATTTTCTACCTAAAGTAAAGTACAATCAGGCATTGTTTTGTTGGTTTGGGGTTTTTTTTAACTTTAGTTTCTGTGGAAGTCCCTACAAGAAGGGATTTTTCTTATCAGCACTGTGGAAGCTATACCTTGAGGGGAAAAAAGGGAGAGATCTTTCCCATTGCCAATGCTCATTTTGGTGAAGTTCTGTGAGTAATAGAAAATTCCAGAAAGATTTATTATTCATAACTAAGTCAGAATGGAAGGTGTTAGCTCTTCTGGAATGCCCAAGATGGAGCCATACTTCACTATTAGCACTCTGTATTAGATAAGAATGTAACCATTGAAAAATTTTAAAATTAGGCTGAGAGTTTAGCCAGCTTACAGGCAGTATTAGCAGTACTGTAAAGACTGACAATCCTGTGATTTCCTGCTCCAGCTTTGTGTCACACCATTACATTGACTGTTTCTGATTAATACTGCAAAGTGGTTTTGGGAGCTTCCAGATGAAATGTCCTAAAAATGGGCAGAGCTTACTGTGATCTTGATTCAGATTAATTTATAGGGTGTAGTCTGAAGAAGTGAAGCTTTTTTATGTATCTAGGTGACACTAAAGTGGCTTCTTCATTTCTTCCATGTGGAAGGAAAAGCAACTCATTGCAAAGTTTACCCAAATGTTCAGTGGTGCTCCTGTCCATACCTACGTGCATCTGTTAAACATGGTCTTCATTTTACCCACAGTATATTTTTAATGTTTAGGCTTTTAAGATGGAATTTCTCTTTCTTTTGATGTTGGATTTGGTTCAGACCTCTTTAGAAGTTGCATTCTCTCATTTCTAGACTTCTTGTTTGACTGATACGATATTTAATCTTCTGTCATCCCAGCCAAGATGTTGTGCATGATGAATTAAACATCCCTGCTGTTTTCTTTGATCACAGAAATAACAATTACTCTGTTATTATAATCTCCTCAACTTGTCATAAGGTTTGCATAGCTTAGATGGAAAAGGCTGGTTAGGTAATTGATTCCACTCTCTTGTTCAGACAGCTTATATTTGAGCAAGGAACAGATCACCCCGCCTTGGACCCACCTACCAGAAGTGAAACTTTGTGAAACCTCAGAGCCTTCTGTATGTTGGAGGCCAGACAAATTTACCTGTGTGACCAGCTATGAAATTTTTGTAATATCTTTAACTTGGAGTTTATTTATCTGATGCCATGTTTTTTCTTTTCAATTATCTGACAATGTAACAATCAGTATTTCCAACTGAAGTGGAGGCTTCCTGAAACTGAGCGCCACTGTTCCACCAACAGAACAGGCAAGAACAATGCTATTGATAGAATTAAAAGCCTGGCATTGAAGATAAAAAACAAACCAAAGCTCTCTAGTGCCTGCTTTTCCTGTCTGGTGCACTGTGTATGTTTTACCAAAAAGCAATTGTAATGTGTGTGACTGCTTTAGGGGCCAATACTTTCACAGCAGAGCCAGTCTTGAAAGCCTTGCATAGTTATCACTTCTATTCCATGGCCCTGTCTGCTGGGCTTGCAGTTCCCACAACAATTTAGTAGTCTTTCTGGACTTGATCCAAACAGAATTATGTCAGTGGGAATTATTTCAGTTGGCTGTGGATGACATAAAACATTATAAAATAGTAATTGTAAAGGAGTCTATTCTGCCATCACACACCTGCAAGCACCATGTGGCTTAGTATCTTACATTTATATAGCATTCTTTCCCATAAAATATTCAGAAGATTTTTGTAGATTGATAGGAGGTCAGTGCTTGTAACAAATTTTCATGTGTCCAGCTGAGGTTCCAGAGAACTGATGTTTGCTCATGCAGATCCCTTCAGCATGCTCAGGTTCTGTGTGTGTCCAAACCCACTGAATCCAGAGCTGAAATGTGCCTGCCCTTGTGGAACAGGGCTGTTGGCAGTTCACAGCAGCACTGCACTACATCTTGTGCCCAGGTGAGGACATCCTACTCAACAGAAACCACAGGGCATGCTTACAAATAAAGATTCATCCCCCTGTAAAAGTTTGCCTCAAAACCCATCACTGATTTTTTTTTCCATTTTTCCATGAAAACCTCTGCAAAAGACCACACCTTGAAGACAAATGGGGTGTGCTTACATGATAGAATCATAGAATGGTTTGAGTTGGAAGGGTCCTTAAAGATCATCTTGTTCTAACCCCTCCCACCCTGAGCAGGAATGACACCCACTTAATTAGCGTATGTGTAGACATATAATGACATGTACATATATATATGTATTAAAAAAAATCAAAGGATAACATTTTCTTCAGCATTAGGCATCCTCATGCCAAGACATGCAAAGTACAATTACAGACGAAAGAAAGTGACTGCTCAGTCACCAGCACAGTGCTTGCAATCATTAATGCCTTTTCCCTGGCTGTCACTCAGATTAGTTTGCAAAATTGTCTGTCTCACAGTGTTGCTGTCACCCATGCCAGCTGCAAATGTGCTCCTCTTTTCCTTTCAGAGACTTCCCCAGGAGTTGCTGAAGTGACTTTTGTGGAAAAGGAGCCGGCTGAACGCCACACAATCGTCTCTTGGGAACAAGTGAGTATTTTCCTGGTAAAACAGCAGTGAGGTCAGTTTGAATGTGCAACAGCCCATGGAGAATGTCAAGTGCAATGGCAACCTTGTGTTTATGAGACAGCTTGCTACCAAGTTTGATGTATAGTGCAGCCTAAGCAGGTGTTGCTTTGTTTTTCTTAATCAGGTGTCACTGTTTTAGGCTGTCACATGTACCTGATTTGTTAGAGAAACATCACCACTGTGGGTACATTCAGCATGACAGCTCTAAAAAGAAACCACATAACTGTAGTAGGCAGCTACAGTGGTGACTCAGTGGGGAGCAAACAGTTTTCTGACTCAGGTCCGAAAACATTTTCCAACTCCCTTTCAAACAAAATGAAGCAGTGCTTTATGATCCATGGCCATTAAAGGTAAGGCCTCGTGCTGGCAAATAACACTGAGCTACCCAGTTTGTTCCAGTTATCTTTTTCTATTTTTAGTCTCAGCCATTCGCTTCAGTTTCTCATATCCCTTTCTTTCACATCTTTGGCTGCCCAACCCAATCTCTTGGCTGGGACATGTCCCATTGCCTGTTGTAGATGACTGTGAAGGACATGTGCTACCTTCATTCTGCACTATCTGACCTTACTGCATCAGTCTGTGTGATCAGAGGGCTCCTGAAAACTGTGTGACTCAGGGCATTTTCATTCCCCTTTTGGAATATACATTTCTTCATAAATCCCATGGCCGTGGTTGAATAACTGCTTGGTAGGAGTTGTTTGTCCAGGGATGGGACAGTAGAAGCACGAAGCACTGTGGCCCTTGGAAAGGGACATGGCAGAGAATGGAGTTGAGTGAATCATCCTCCCTCTGCTCTAACCCTGGCTGTGGCCTAAAGCAGCTGCTCCTAGAGACTGCTCTTACCACTGCATAAAATACCTTCCCCTTTGACACCGAGCCATTTACTGCTTTTCCTAAACAGTGAGGAAAAGTCTTACACTGGTTTTGGCAATGCCTTATTCCAATTAGTGACATTTATCAAGAACATATATAATTATATATATATATATATATACATTCCAGGTCAGAATGTATGTGGTGTAAACCTGTGTGTTACTTACTGAAACTTGTCCAGAAGTCAGCAACTGTGGTCAGGGAGAAATGTCCTGTTTTTCAGGTTTGTGTAAACCGATCCCTGGTTTCCTCTAGCTGTTTTTCAGGTATTGGGTTACCTGAGCTGGAAAGTTTGAGGCACCATGACTGCAAGCCAGATCAGGTCTGGGAACACAGAGTAATATTTGCTCAGTCTTCTGTTGAGTGGAGAGGACTGCTTCTCCTGGACATGGTGCTCATTCCTCTCATTTTCAGGTGCTGCTTCTCCTCTAAACTGAAATGGGTTTATTTCACAACTGAGCTATTCTTGTAAAGCCAAAAAAATGCTGTAGCCGAAGCACTTCATTCAAGAGAAGCCAAAAGAAATTTCAGTTCCCACCCTCCCCCCTTGCCCAGCAATGGACTAAGTCAATTGTGGATGTAAATGTTGAAAATTAAATGAGTACAGTTGTGTTGGACTTCTAATAGTGAAGGACTTGGCTGTCAGTGAAGGACTTGGCTGTCTTGTTTCTTTGGTTTTGGTTCCCTTTGACAATTTTTTTTAAATTAAAAAATATTAAAGCTCCTTTCTCAAATTAAAAGGTAACTGGACTTTTTTCTTTTTTTTTTTTTCTCTTGAGCTATCGGGAATGAAGTGTGAATCTAACCCAGTCTACACAGTTGCAAGACAAAATGTCCTGCCGTGATGATTAGGTAGAATGAACTCAACAATTCACAAAGCTGTTCCAGGATGAGCTTGTTCCTCATTTTTCCTGAAACTTACCTTTCTTGAATTTGAATACGTTTGTTTTTATCGGATTTACGGCCACTAGGTGGCAATGCTTATACATATAATCATTTCTCCATGGCTGAGATTTTTAACAAGATTTCGCCAGAGTATATTTTTAACTTCCCTCTACATATTTCATTATGAAACTATTTTCAGACTATTTGAAACTATTTTTCTGTGATGTAGGACAAACTGGTGAAACTGTTCCCAAAACTACATTATTTTTCCCCCAACAACTTCTCTATTAAGACTTATGTTGTGGGGCATTCCGCAGACTAACCAAATAAAAGCTTTATTCTTCAGATTATTGTTTAATGGAATAAATCTTTCCAGTCCTATTTCAGTTTTGCAAGGAAAGATTGTTTTACTGAGAAAAAAAATCCAGGTGTTCAGAAGTTCTTAAAAGAAAATCAATCTTTTAAAAATTATTAATTAACAAGTTATTTTATTCATGCTGGGTATATATACATTTTTTTGTTTCCACCAGATGTGTTTTCTAAATTGTGCTGTGCCATGTTTGTGCTGCTATGTAACTGGATACTGCTGTGTTTTAAAATCTCACCTTGTTGAGATTAAAATAGTCTTTAAAATCTTAAGCTTGTTGAATGTCCCTTAGCTGCCATGGAGCTTTGCAGGGGGAACTGAGCTTCATGACAGGAGTTAGTGCAGTAATGCTGTAGGAGAGAAGAAGAAAATTTTCCCAATGTAGAAAGAGCTGCTAAGTGTTACATGTCAGGAAATCGCTCCTGAAGAATTTATTGGAAATCAGCACACACACAAAAATACCTTAAGTGTATGATTGCCAAGTGTATTTACATGGGTAAAACAAGAAGTAAAAGAGGGAGTAGAGACAGTTACCTGGTCACCAGAAAACCAGTGATAATAACTATATCATGCTAAGAAATCTTTCCCACTCCTAAAATTAGGCTGGCAATGGCTCTACTCCAGTCCACATGCAATTTTTAGAAATGGGTGTTACACTGAAATACTGCTAGGAGGCACTCTGGTGCAGCGTCTGAATCACATTTTTTTTCTTGCATCAGCTGGAAGAAAAATGAGTCACTTACATCCTTGTTTTGGTTTTCAAAAAATAGGAAATTGCATTTTTGTTAGAGGGACACAGGTACCTGAGACCATTTTCCCTTGTTCTTCTCACTTATTACTTGGGAGAAAAACCTGACCCACACCTGGCTTTCAGGGACTTACAGTACCTTTGAGGTGTTAGAAAGCGGAAAGATCTCCCTCAGCCTCCTCTTCTCCAGTCTGAGCACCCCCAGCTGCCTCAGCCACTCCTCTCAGGCCTGTGCTCCAGACCCTTCCCCAGCTCTGTTTCCTTCTCTGGACACAGTCCAGCCCCCTCTGTGTCCTTCTTGCTGTGAGCAAACTAAGCTGAGCACAGATTCCAGGCGTGGCCTCAGCCGTGCCCCAGCACAGGGGATGGGCCCTGCCCTGCTCCTGCTGCCCCTCCATGGCTGACGCAGGCCCGGGGCCTTTGGCCTCCTTGGCCCCCTGGGCACCCCCAGCTCGTGTCCAGCCCCTGGAAACCAGCACCTCCAGGGCCTTTCCCACTCAGCAGCTTCCCAGCCATGCTGTCCCAGCTGGAGCTGCAGGGGCTGCTGTGACCCAGGGACAGGAGCCAGCACTTGGCCTGGTTGAGCCTCACACAACTGGCCCTGGCCCGTGGATGCAGCCTGGGCAGATCCCTCTGCAGAGCCCCCCTGCCCTCCAGCAGATCAGCACTCACACCCAGCTGGGCCTTGACTCAAACTGACTGAGGGGGCTCTTGATTCCCTCACTCAGATCATCAATAAAGATAAAAAACAGCACAGTACAGAGCCCCCAGTACAGAGCCCTGGGGGACACCACTAGGGACCAGCTGCCTGCTGCAAGTGATTCCATTCACCAGCACTCTCTGGGCCAGGCCAGCAGCCAGTTTTAAATCAGAGAACAGAGCACCTAAGCCACAAGCAGCTGGTATCTCCAGGAGAATTCTATGGGATTCAGTGTCAAAGACTTTTCTAAAGCCCAGGAAGTCAACATCCCTGGACTTTCCCTCATCCACTAAGAGGGTCACTGTGTTGTAGAAGGAGATTGGGTTGGACAGTAATGCCTCTCACAAACCCACGCTGGCTGGGCCTGATCTCCTGGATCTCCTGTAGGTGCTATGTGATGGGCACTCAAGAAGATCTCCATGGCTTCCCCAGCACTGAAGTCAGGCTGACAGGCCTGTAGTTTCCTGGTTCCTCATTTGAACCCTTACACACAATCCAGGAACCTCCTGAGCTGCTCCCTCTCTACTGCATAGTGTTTCCAGCACACGTGTGGAATGTCATCCCCCTTGCTTCTACAGCATCTCTTTTTGAGTCTAAGTATGCATGCAGGGTGTGCACCTTCAACAGTCCTTCTTGGCATCCTTCCTGTCCACCCTTAATGTTAGCCAAGCCTCCCATCCCTCATCCCCACGAGCACAGGATGAGTGCTCACCTTGAGCTTGCCTTGCGGCTGTGACTGTGGGAGAGATGGGAAGTGGATCCAGCAGGGCCAGTGCATGAGGAAAGCTATGTTTCTTCAAGCTGCATGATGGGGAACAGGCTGGAGGACTTTTGAGAAGTAAGTAGTGTTTCTTACACAGTGTTCCCCCTCTTGTTAAGCTTTATAAAGTATTGAAAACTGGCTGCAGAACAATATCCCCAAGAGAACTTTGAAATCCTGTTCTCTGCAGCAGGGGATCCAGTCTACTGCTCTGGGAGCTCCCCAGGTCAGATTTATTACAGGTGCAAGAACATTTCAATATGTTACATAAATTAACATCAACATTCACTGACAGCTAGGACAAACCAGCCATAAAACTGCAGGACATTAAGGAGAGAGAAGGGTGGCTACTGATGTGGTCTAATTCTTGGAAGTCCTCAAGTGACATGAATGCCTTCCTTCTCTCCCCAGAAGTTGGGTAAAACTCATTCATGCTTTTAGAGAAGTCTCTCTAGAGCTATATGTTTTGATTGCTTTCTGTTTCTTTAGTATATTTGCTTGAGAGACATTCTTTCAACAGTGTTTCAGGTGAATTGCCATATATCAGGCTCCTTAGGTTTGGATCCATTTCTAATCAGGTCCTGGCCACAAAAATCAGGTTCTCGTATTTTTCTCTGTACTAAGTGGACTGTGCTTTCTTGGGAGGCTATTTTGAGATATTACAAAGAACAAAGAAAAGGAATAGACCTCTCACACCATATTAAGCACTTGGGATATTTTGTTTTATGAACTGATGAGTGTAACCAGATAACTGGAATGAAAACAGCTGCTTGCCAGGGCTGTGGTTAAGCCAAGTCTGACATGTTATTTAGAAACAGTGTATTTTGTAGGGCTGGAGAACACAACCCTGACAACTACCAGTTGAGTGAGAAGAACATAGAATTTTATAAGCCATTTTTAGTATATAGTGTCTTGTTTCTCTGACTTCTGTCAGATTACTGTTCTGATGTCATATGGTCATGTGACTAAGCACAATGTGACAGATCCATAAATCCTTTCCATCAGATGAGAGAAATGGGTGCTAATGAAGTTTTCTATTTACAGGTCTTTTTCTGTAGACCCCAGACCTGCTCTGATACTGCATTTTCTACCCAAATACTTTGCACCAGTGTGGGTTAGAGAATCCTGAAGTAAATTCAGACAGTAGCCATCTGGAGAAACAGTCACATGTTGATCTTTTTCAAAAGGAGGATTCAGAGCATAAAACCTATTCAGATTTGATTTTTCTCTTGTCTTACCTATGTTTGCTAAATTGGGCTGTGCCTGAGTTGTAGCAGGATTTATGTGGATACTGCAGTGGAAGTTGTTAAACCTTGGATTTTGTCATCCTAGTGGATCTAGTTCTCCTGCTTGGAGAAGAACACACACTGAAGCCAGGAGACTGATTCACATATGTGTTTTTACTGCTGCCGTGAATTAGTTTGAATTGGGGGATTTGAAATGTAGTCGAAGTGTTATGTTAACTTTTGTACTCTGCTGAGGCTTTGTAGCTGGTCTGTCATACTTTCTTTCTTCATAGTTTTAGCTGTAGTCACTGTGCTTACAGGTACAGCTTGAAACTGGAAGTGATGAAAGCACAGATGAAATTACAAATATTTAGGACTGAGGAGAACCACAGAAGAAGGTGTGTTTGTGAAAAGCATTTGAAGAACTTCAGATATGTCCATGTGGTTTATTAATCACCTTAAACTTACCACCAGGTCCTCAGCCATCAGCAGACTCTTGTCGTAGGATGTTAAATTCTTCTAAAAACAGCCTCTGCAGTGTCAGGTTATCTGTGGACCCTGAAGATTTTCTCTATCTGGATTAAGAGGGCTCTGAGCTAGTGACCAGGCTGCTTGATGAAGCAAGTGAAGTGACCTGCCCTCTTGCAAGCTACAAAGCCATTAGTGTCTGGGACTCTTCAGTAGCAGTCAATCAACATTAATGGATGTGCTTTAAAAGTAAATTAACAAGCACAAGGTTGTGGGCAGATTGGGCGCTCCTACATAGTGTGTACACCCCAGTTTAGGAGACAAAGACTGTGATAACCCAAAGAAAGTGTCAGTGAATAAGGCTTTAACGGGCAGAAAGGCTGTTCTGGTGCTAGGGGAGGGAGGATATGTGAACAGGATGAGACCAGCACCTTCCCTTGCTCATCCAGCAGCTGATGACTAGAGGCCAGCATTGCAGCTGGATTCACAGCTGGCAGGTTGCTCTTGCTGGATAGGTACATCTCTCTTCTCTTGAAATGTTAAAAAATTCATGCCCCAAGTGAAGCAGAGGTATTTGAACTGGATGTGCATCTTCCTTTTCCTTAGCTACTGGTTATAGAATATTCTGTCTTTATTTATTGAAACTTTTCCACAAGGAGAGTGGTGCAGTCCTTGGGCAAATCAGCATACACAGATTGTGGAACCTCGATCACAGGACACTCTCCTGAGTTTTGAGGTCTGATACTTTGGGAGCCCTGAATGTGACTATTTTAAATTTGAACTCACTGGAGTCAATCGGTTTTTTCTCTAAAAGTTGCAAACAGACCAGCAAGTGACTCTTTCAGTCATGCTTCTTGTTTGTGTTATTAAAAATGGCAGGTTTCCATTCTGTTTGATTTTTTGTACTTGACACTTCAGCAAGAGCAGAGGGTCACTGGTCTACAGCCAGTCCTGTCCCCAGGAGGAGGATCAGCAAATGCCTGTAGTTCTTTGGGTTTCTTTTTGTTCTGAGGTTTAAGCCTTTATCCTTCCATCCTTGTATTTGCAGCTCAGCTGAAGAGTCTAAGTTAAGAATGACTCCTTCCGCAACCAGCACAGGAGAAGTTTTCTGGTTCCTACAAACTCAAACTCACTGGGGTTGCTTCTTTCACTGGTGGCTCAGAAGGAAGCAGGCTTAGGAGCCACAGCCATTCACTGAAGTTTGGAGGGATGAAACCAGACCAGCAGATTTCTGAGTCTGGCTTTGCATGTGCCTGCACACATACTTTTTGTTAAGTGAAATGTCAGATCTGCTTGAGTATGTGCAACTTTTGAGTCTATGCTTCTTACACCTACTTGGAGCTGAAATTCCTCAGAAGAAGAGAGTCACTGTACTAATATTGTACATGCTTTAGTGGAATAGGTAAGTTTAATCTGATTTCACTTAAAGCAAAACCCTATCCTTTTAAGCCATATATATGCAAAAGCTAATTGTTCTGATTTATGTGAGTTTGGAATGGCTGCTAATCTCAAAAGGTAACACTGTGTCTCAGTTTAGGAACAATGCTGTAATAATTTTGTGATGACTAACTGCTCATTGTGAAATTTTTTCAAGCTGCCTTTGTGAAGACTAGCACAGTCCTGAGAAATACACAGTTTTTCCTTGAGGCTTTAAAATGAGATATTTGAACTGATTTGAGTCACCTTGGAGTTAAGCAGGGAACTTGGTGGCAAATATTTCTGTACCAATTTTCAGTTGTTCTTACAGTTTGAGGCATGTTCTGCATTTTCCCATTACGCTTTGATTGTTATTTGCAGAAAAACTCCTGTGTATTACCTGAGGATTTAAAGAACTTCTATCTGATGACCGATGGCTTCGAGATGACCTGGAGTGTGAAGACTGATGGTGAGTCCCTGTGTTCCCCTCCACTGGCAAGCTCAATTCATTGCAGCCAGTCCTCCTTCTGCAGAACCTCTTTAATTTCCAACTTAGTTCATGCACAATCAATACACATCTCTCAGGAAAAAATCTATTGCTTGTATATTCTGGCATCCCACAAAAGGGGTGCAAACACTCTTTCTTTCTGGCAAGAAACTAATTATTCATGATATAAATTCTGTTCTGTAATACACTGCCCATCTGTTGACTCTCAGATTTAGGTGTGTCATTTAAACCTCATACCTAACTCCCTCTGTAGTTCATGTAGAGAGAAACAACTGCAGCTCATTATCCCATCATAAATCAGTAGGAAGAGTCACCCTCTGATAATGCTTCTTTCTCATTAAAATGTGTATGTAAATGTTGGAGCCTGCTTCTGCTTTCCACCAGCTGAAGTCCAAGCTTCATTTTCCATCCTTGTTCAGCAAGAATCAGGTAGTTTGTTCACTCTGCAGCTGTTTTCCTGGCTCTCATTGCCTTCAGGCAGGGTTCTCCAGTTGGGCCATGGACACTGCTCACTTCTGGAGATGGGTGTCAAATGCAGGGTCTTCCTCAGGAAGTGAAATGGCATTTCAAAGACAGTTCACATCAGTGCTTTAGCACCTGCATGACTCTCGTCATGTTTCAAGGGGGACTAATGACCTCTGTGGAGTCTTGTTTTCAGGGCTCACAAGTGCATGGAGACCAAGGCTGCTGGTACAACTGTCTTGTTTGAGCTAACATCCAGCAGTGCCTTCTGAGACCCATCACACTGGCACGTGGCTGAACAGGGTGCTTGCTGCCTTGATGTCTGCCTACAGTGTGAGTCCTCAGAAACTCAGACAAGTGACAGGTCCTGTAGGATTCTTTGAGGAGCACCCACATTTAATGCACTGATAAAAGGCACCGTGGAAGTGGGAACCAAGAGGATGCACCCTAAACAGATACATGGAGTGGAAGAGGACAAGCTGGCCAGTAGGCTGTGAATTTGTGGGTTGGTTTCTGATGGGAAGGGCAGTAGGAGGGAAAAGAGCTTTGAGGAAGAGACTGTAACTGAAATCCTGTAGCCAGGATTTTTAGGTTTTCACAGCTCTGAGCTAACAGCTGCAGCACAGTCCTTGCCAGCAGTGTAATTCCCATACCTTTTAGCTCTGAGATGGTGTTGCATCACATGTAAGTGGGAGTCTGTGTTTGAAAAAGCCTCATTTTTGCTCTTGTATAACCATTCTTCACCCCACAGAGGTTGATGTCTGGAGGAAGATAAATGCCTGCCATGCCTTCCTGACACTGGATGTGATTAATGCTTGGTTTTGTTGCAGATACCCCGATGCCCTTGGGCTCCATGGTGATTAACAGCATCTCAAAGCTGTGTCGGCTTGGTGGCTCCTCTATGTACACTCTGCCTAGCGCTCCAACTCTTGCTGACCTGGAAGATGACACAGATGAGGAAGGTAAGGCACAGTTAACAGGCTAGAAAACCTGCTCTATCTTATCCCTTTTGTTCTATTAATGTTAAAATATAGCACAAGATATGTGGACCAAACACTTTTCCACCAGGTTGCTCAGAGCTCCATCCAGCATAGCCTTAAACACTTCCAGGGTTGGAGCATCCACAATTTCTCTGGGCAGCCTATGCCAGCACTTCATCAGCCTCACACAAAAGAATTTTATCCAGTATCAAATGTAAATCTGCCTTCTGTCAGTGTGAAGCCACTCCCCCTTATTCTGTCACTACATATTCTTGTAAAAAGTCCCTCTACATCTTTTTTGTGGGCTCCTTTCCACGTACTGGAAAGCCACAATTAGATCACCCTGAAGCCTTCTCTTTTCCATGCTGAATAAATCCAATTCTCTCAGCACCTCAGCTATCCCCCATGGCAGGGAAATTGGAACAAGATGGTCTTTAGTGTCCCTTCCATTCTACAATAAATCTACATCACTCCAGGTAGATGGGGATTACTTGGTCTAGCAATCTGGTCTAGAGAAGGGTGTGCTTGTCCCTGTCAGGGCAGTTGGAGCAAGATGATCTTCCAGGTCCATTTCCAACCCAAACCATTCTGTGATTCTCTAATTCTCTGTCTCCTGGGCTGGATCTATTACATATCTTATTAGTTCCCTACTGCCTTGGCAGGTACATCTGTATGCTGTGAATGTCATGGGGATTAGTGTTATCTGCATCCTCTTTTAACAGGCCTTTTCCCTGTTTAAACTTTCACCTGAGCCTTGCTCCAGTGATTCAGCTTTCAAAATCTTTGTGTGCTTAAGGTGTTAAATGAACAAAAGATAACAGGTTTTGTTTTGGTAGTGAAGACAGCTGGAATTGGAGAAGTAACTGGTATGTACATATAACTATGAGGCTACCCTGCCTAGAAATGCTGGGAATGCTGCTATTTGGAAAGAATAAAAAAGAAAAAGAAAGCCCACTCATTTTGTCAGAGCTCTCACATCCCCCTGGAAAAAACAAGAGGATAAGAACACAGCCAGGTGTCACACCAATTTCTTAAAGGAGTGCTATTTGATTTCAGTCTTATCTCTTACAGACAAGACCTCTGTAAGCTCTTCCAGCTCCTAAATGTGGCTGAAAGTAGTTTTGATATTCAGTTTGGCTGCAGTCCTGATCTTCTAGAAATGCTCAGTGATGGTTAAGGGTCTCAAGTTGAATAAGAGTCAGATGTGATTGTGGAGAAGGATGCTGATGTCACACTGGAATGTATGGAGAAATAAATATCTCTGCAATTTCATTGAAGTCTTGTCCCAAGACTCCCTGTCCTCCTTAGAAAAAATAAATCAGGACAAAAAAAGGAATCATTTATGCAACAGAAATAATGGGCTTCAGTTGTAGCAAGGAAGATTCAGGATCCATGAGGAAAACTTCTAAGTGATAAATGATGGATTTGGGTTGAGTACCTAGAGATTGTGCCTGTGCCTTCTCTAACACTGGAGAACTTTAAGAAGAAAAGATTAGACAAACCTCAGGGGTGACATCTGTAAACCTTGACTCACTTAATGCCAGGGAGGAAAAAGAAGTCAGCTTATCTGTTTTCAGCTATCTAATTTTGACTCTGTGGTTTGTTTTCCTAACAAAGATGAAAATTTTTCTCACTTTTTCAGGTTTTTTTGCTTGGTTTTCTTTTAAACATAGGGAACTTAATAATTTCCAAGAAGTATAAATGTAATTGTTTGATTCAGTTCTTCATCAGCTGATTTTTTAATGTATAAGACTGATAGGCTTTTTGCAACTGAGTCACAGTCAGTTTTCCAAACATATTTCATACATTTTTTTCCTTTGTTTCAGGTAATGGAGACAAGCCAGAGAAGCCTCACTTTGATTCTCGTAGTCTTATCTTTGAATTAGACCCATGCAATGGGAATGGGAAAGTCTGCCTTGTTTATAAGCATGCTGAACCAGGTAAGACTGAAAAAAGAAAAGTTAGCTATCTCTTGTTGTGGATGGTATCTGAAGGTCACATGTGGAGAGTTATCTTGTATTTCTGGTCTTCTTTGCTATTTGTAAGTGAAATTTTTACTGGGATGTCCTGTCTCCACTGAAGTCAGGAGCTAAATCTTAACTAAATCTAATATTTTCACTTCTTTTAGTGTTGGAGTCTGAGGTATAACTTATGATTTCTGCGTGCATAGAAACAGGGAAGTATTCACATGTGACCTACAGACAATTGAGTTGAAATAACACAGAGCTCCACTAATCCAGTTACTTGAATGTCTTGGAACAAAGCCATTACATTTTGATGAGAAAGGGTATAACTCTGCTGAGAAACAAAGTGTAGATGATAAAAAAAGCTGAGACAGAATTAGACTCGGTCTTCCACCTTGTGCACAGATGCTGGGTCTCAAGGTGCTAACTAGGCCAAAATGTTAATGGGAGGGTGAGAAACGGGAGCAGAGCTGTTTGTTTTGACAGATACAGAGATAGCTGTTATCAGTCAGAGAGTAGTGAAACACCTACGGCACTTGTAGAATAGTTGTCATCTGACTGAGTGCACAGGTCACTAGATGTATGTGTGTTTACTGTGTAGGATTGTGCAATTGCAATATACAAGTTCTTAAGAAAAATCCTGGGTTGTTTTCTTGTGCTTTTCATTGTGTGTGACTACAGCTGCCATGGCAGCAAGTTCTTGTCCTCTTGCCCTTCCCCATGTTAGTGATTTCAGCACATGCAGTTGATAACTGGGCAAAGGAAGGGAGCATTGGTTGCAGGTGTCAATGTCAACAGAGGGGCAGTCTGTTTAAATGACAGTGTTCAGCATCTCAGTCTCCCAAGAAAAATCCTTTTCTTTATGCTACAAAGGATGTCACCACCAGAGAAATATTTGATCACTGTGGAAAGATTTTGCAAAATGTGTTTTTGTTGGCAGCGCATACTACCATGACTTCCAGACTCTGGACTCTATTCAGTAATCCAGATCACTGACAATTGAGTTAGTTGCTTTTTACTTTGTGGGGCAGATAAATGTTTGCCATAATTGTACTTTGAACATATACTACAAAGTTGCTGATGTCCAAGAATGTTCCATGTAGCATGTCACTCCCAGGTTGTGAAGGAACACATTCATTGTCCAAGCATTGCATTCATTGTCCAGCACACAGCTAGTCAAATACCCCATGCAGTGGATGAACACTGGGTGATGGGTACGACACAAAAGATTATAGTAAATAGGGCTTAATAGTAAATAGTCATCACATCAAGCTGATAGCTGGTCACTGGTGGGGTTCTGAAAGGGTCCATCTTGGGCTCTTCAGTGCCTTCCTGAATAGTTTGGACACAGGACTGGAAGGAGTGCTTAGTTTGTCCATTATATTAAATTGGGAGGAGTTGATGTCTCCCTCAAAGGCCTTGCAAAGTGACCTCAGCAAATTAGAGAGATATGCAACCACCAACTGTATGAAGTTTAACAAAGCCAAGTTCTGGATTCTGCACCTGGGCTGCAGCAAGCCTGGAGGTACATGAAACAGCCCTTCTGATGAGTGTGTTGTGTCTCCCACCCGACAGTGGCCCAGGGGTTAAACTTAATACTGCAAAGCAACGGTGTAATTTGTGCTTGTTTTATTCTAGTGGTCTCCCCAGACACAGAGATCTGGTTCCTGGACAGAGCTCTGTATTGGCATTTCCTCACCAAAACCTTCACAGCCTACTACCGCCTGCTCATCACGCACCTGGGTCTCCCACAGTGGCAGTATGCCTTCACCAGCTATGGGGTCAGCCCCCAGGCCAAGGTAGGACAGCAGAGTCCAGCCTGTCAATATTCTGCATAAGTATACACTGGAAAAACATCTTCCCACCTTTTGGCAAACTGTCTGTCAGCTCAGGGGGGCCTCCCTGCTGAGCCATGGAAGGGACCACAAGTTTTTTCCCTGTAACATGTTAATAGTAATTTGTTTCACTGTAATTTGAATTCACTACTATAGTGTTAACCCTGCTTTCCTCTCACAAGTTGGGCCTTGATAAAAATTATGACCGAAAAATGGCAATTTCAAGTCCTAGAGGTAGTTACAGAAGACCTCTACATAAACCTTTGTGAGCATTCCAGTCATTTATTATTATTATTAAAATTACTATTCTGCCTTGCCAAAATCCTGCTATTAGAGGCTTCTGCTGTTCTTCTGTGTTTGACTGGGCCTTCAGCCCTATCCTTCCTCCTGTGAGAGATCGGGGGATGGAGCTGATGATCCTACTGAACACAGCTCGTATGCCAGCACAGTGTCTGTGCACCTGGGCAAGGTCTGCTGGGACTGGAGTGTCCTGCACTTCACCCAGACACAGCAGCTGTCTTACCAGCATGAGATTCCCTGGTCCTGTGTGCACATCAGAATTACTAAAATCACTCCTGACTTCCCATCAAACAGTGGCTGTAGAATTTGGTTCTTCTCATTCCTGATGCCTTCCCTGTTACACTGCACTGGACTTTATCAGTCAAGGCTGTGTACGTGGCACTGTGCTCTGCCTTTCTGTAACTTTCCTGCTATAAATATTTTATTATGTTCAGTATATTTGCAAACATTAAGAGGAACCATTTGTATATTCCCTAATCATTTGCAGTCCCTGTTGGTTAAAGTCCTCCTACTTTGTTAACCATTATGATTTTAAAAGCTTGAAAGGGGGTATATTAAAGCTGTTTTCCACTAAGCAGTACATTAATAGATGATTATCTATATTTTTGTATTGAACTTCTGTATGTCCTGCTCAACATTTAGCTGATGGTTTCACTGTGATTTGTAATACCTTAACTACTATAGTTTTATTTCTGACTTTGTTAGTGGAAAAATAGAAAATCAGAAAAAGAAACAATAAGACAAACAAACACAAAATTCATTGTGTAAGGAGTTTAAAAACTTCATTATTTTATGTGTGAAGAGAGGGAGGAATGTTACATTTTGAGAAGTTCAACTAGTTGGTTTTCAGTTTATAAGCACATATAAATTCCAAAGTTTTTTTAATCCTTTCTGCTTATCTGAATCTAAATAAATGTCATTTAGTCTCATCCCTCCCTTTTGCTTTTCCTCCTGTGGTGTAAGTTAGGATTCACTCTTTATAAGAGTTACACTGCAGGAAAGGTGGTGTTAGGATTGTGTCTGGTTCTCCTCTTCCCTATCTGGTATGGAGTTCCAGGACTGGGGCTGTAGCCAAGCCTTGTGTATTCTTATCACAAGCACTCTTCCAAGTCCTGTGAACTGCAAACTGATAAGTGGCATAGGATTAAGATAAAGTCTTGGGGAAGATGGGGAGCAAGGTGGAATTGTCCAACTGCAGTTTGAATTTAACCTGTTCCTTCCCCACAATTCTGCCTTTCAGCAATGGTTTAACATGTATAAACCCATAACCATCAACACAGCACTCCTGTCTGAAGAGGCAGATTCCTTTGTGAACAAGCTGGACCCCAATAAGGTATTTAAAAGCAAGAACAAAACTCCAGTGCTCAAGAAAAAACAGCCTCCACAGCCACCAGGCTCCCAAAAGAGTCACACAAGCATGACCTCTGCCAAGACGTCCTCACTAGCAGGGAATTCTTCAAGGAAGTGAGCCTGCTAGATCTGACCCTGGACAACGTTTGCAATAAGCTTTGATGCTTTCTGCTGCAGAGTCTCTGTGGTTCAGACCAAGTTCCTCGTGCATGAATAGATGTGCCCATGGAAAACACATTGCAGCACTTGCATGAAATATAGCTGCGATGTGGATGTAGTTCCTGGAGGGTCTTAAAAAAAATTGATACATGAATTTTATTCCCTTCTGCTACTTGCAGCATGTACTTTTCAGAGGGCATGAAGAAACCTTTGATGTCACTGATCCAAAGGGAAGCATTTGTTCCTGTACAACTGCAGCAGTGAAATGAAAGCAAATATAATTCACTGTAACTTTAACCAGACCCAGGCTGAAGTAGAGAGTGTGAAGATGTTTCTTCCATGTCCTTTGAAAGAAAACTATCCTGACCTTGCATGCTGTGGGAGCAGGCTGGAACCCACTGAACAGCAAAGTATCTTTCACTCCACATAGAATCAAACTCTGCACTTCCCTGTGCTTCATCCAACTTCTGCTCTGAGATTCATGGTACAATGGGACTTGAGACTTCCATGTCTCTGCATTAGCCACTTGCTCTGCAGCCCAGACCACTTTTTGGCCTTCAAGCTCGTCCTGGATTGGAAGGCAATATGTGTATTCTATTTGCCATCTGTGAGAGGTGTGGCAGTTGTCTTCTGTAATTGGGCAGTTTTCTTCATCTCTTCCACAAACCAGTCCTCCTTCCTGGGAGATATCTGCTGTTAACGGGCCATTGAGTGTCACTGCATGACTGATAAAAATTACAGTGTCCCATTGTGAGCACTTCACCCAGGGAGAGGAGCTAAGCATTCCTACCTGGATATAATCTGAGATTTTGGGGCACCAGAACAGCCTTTCCACTGTATTCCCAGAGGAGCAGCTGCCTTTTCCACTGGATCTGCAGAGGAAGATCAGGCCCATCTACACCACCACTGTATCTTCAGAGGAAGACTACACCTTTCTACAGGATCACTGCTCCAACAGAGCCACACCTGCCACTCCAGGACTGCAGCCACCATTCCAATTGGACTGCTGCCAACACCCTGACCAACAGGGAGTCAGGTGATATTCTGACTCTGTCAGTGTTGTTTTGTATTACTGCATTGTTTATTTTATTTTTATTTTCTTCTGTAATAAAGAACTGTTACTCCTGCTCCCATATCTTTGCCTGAGAGCCCCCCTTAATTTCAAATTTATAACAATTCAGAGGGAGGGGGTTTACAGTTTACAGTTCAGGAGAGGCTCCTACCTTCCTTAGCAGACACCTGTCTTTTTAAACCAAGACAGTGCTGTATCTTTTCAGATGGTGACATGATTTGCAATAATCCTGAAGCCAGAAGCTGCAAAATCCTTTGTTGCCTCCCTTTGTGGGAATTGCTGAGCACAGAGTCAGTGGTGTTGAGTCCCATCAGCCAGGAGGACCCCTTGGTTTGTCACACATTCATTTGCAAAGCTGACCATTGAAACAGACACTTTTCAGTTGGGCAGGATCGCACCAGGGGCCACTGAGATCCTGCAGCCTTAGAAGCCCTGATGCTGTTTTCTATACTGTAATTTTTCATGTTAGAACTGCACTGTAACCCATTCACTGCTGGTTTTCAGTTACTCCTGTTTGTTTCCATTACTTTTCTATGCTATTCTGTCTTCCAAATACACTGGGATCATGGTAGCACCCAATACATTTTGTGCCTGAATATGGAAATCAAAATCACTGTCTTCATGTAAGCATTGACTATTTAAACAGCATCATCTCTAATTTTTGAAAAACCACCACAGAATTACACAAGACAAACCTACCTCACAGGGATGTTGTGAGGCTTTCATGGGTATTTGTATGGGATGAAGCCATGCTGTAAGTGCTTAATAGTATTTTAATAAATATTTGAATATTTTCCTCCAAAGTGATTGGGTATTTGAAGATGCTTTGGGGAGCACATGGGTGTTGGGATGCAAATGCAAGAGCAGTGTTCAGGATGGATTGTTTGGGGTGCTTTTTCAATGCAGTAGAGAATCTCTCCCTGAGACAAGGTAGGTTACAGTGCTTTTAGCTTATCCCTCTTGAGCTACTCAGAAACTCCCAACTTATTTCATAGAGGCCAGAAGACTGAACTTTGTGGCAGCTGTTCTGCTTCTGCCCTGCAGAAGTGTAAAGTCTCTGCAGCCACCAGCCCCTGCTCAGGTGTATTTTGCTGCTTCCAACACTGCCAAGGGCCCACCTTCAAATGCCATTGCTGCTTTGCCTGGCAGCCACTGTCTGCCACCCCCATATGACAAGAAATCCTCCAGTGCACCCTCTCAAGCCCATGTGCATCTGGAGACAAGTGAATCTCTTCTAGCTGCTCCACTGACATAAAGTGAGCTCTAATGAGAAAGCACATGTCAGTACTTCCCACCCAACACCATAGCAATACCTTAGTTATGCTTTTAATATTGGGATGGAAATGACCATTAAATCCAGTAAATGCCCTTTTCTGGAATTCTGTGCAGTAGTGACGTTCTGTCACTTCCTGCTCTTGGAGAACTCTGTGTTGTTTGTTCATGGCACCCAGCCCTGGGACCGCAGTTATGTGCTTGGCATACATACCATACTTGCTTGAGCACTTTCTAGAAAAGTTAAGACCATTGTCACCCTCCTGGGAACAGGCAGCTTCTGATAGTGTTCTGCCTCTAATCCAGTGACACCTCAAACTTGTAAGGCTGTTGCAGGCCCACTTCCCCATTCAGGTGGAGGTAGCAGAATTACTGCAGCAGCGGGGCAAGCTCTTACATTTCTCATGCATTCAGAGCAGGAAAAAAGTATGGGGGGGCCAGTTTTGGAGACACTGTCACAGAAGTTCTCTGACTTCTTTCCTGTGGTGGTAGTTGGTGTAGCTCAAGTCTAGAGTGTCAGTACACACATGGTTCTTTCCTGACAGCAGGTTCCAGCAGAACTGTGGCAGGATTCAGGAGACCCTGTAGTTTAGTTTAGTAATTTTTCAATGCTTCCTGAATGTTCAGATCAAAACCAACAAAATAAAAAACAAGCACAGAAAAACCCCAAACAACCCAACAGGTTCATGTTTCTATTTTACAGTGTCCTTGTTCTTCTCTCTTCTGTGCTTTTCCAAACTAGGTGTTTGTTAGGGTGACAGATATGCAAATGAAGCAAGCCTAGGACCCTGGTCCATCCCTGTAGTATCTGTGTCTTACTAAAGAATATTCCAGATCAAAATTTATGTGTTAATTGACTTAATCATGTTGTATCTACCACTGTTGATGTCTGTATTTTGATTTATATGAATATATGCGTATCTGGAGACTTGTAGCTCTGCTTTGCTTTTCTTCAGAATATGATGATTTTTGTTTTGGGTTTTTTTTGGTTTTTTTTTTTTTTGTTTTTGATTAGGGTTTTTTTTTTGTAGATTTTTACACAGGGAAATTGAATAATTCCTTCAGGTCACAGCCAGGTCTACCACTACATAGGTCTTCTCAGTATGTCAGATACCAAGTTTGTCTGTTTAAGCAGAGTAGGTTTACTGAAATCTAGTCCCTCATCCCACCAGCGTGGTGGACAGACAGATGTGCCCTTCACATATGTCATTACAGCACATGGCCATCACAGTTGGGAAGTCTCCGTGCCTGCCTCATCTTTCTCAGGTTCAGCTTCAGGCGGGATGTGAAATTCAATGCAGAGTTTGTAGAGTAGAACACCAAAAAGACTTCCAAGAGTTGGAGCTGTGACTGGGACCCACCACCAGCAATGATCAGCCCTAAAAGGAAGCACAGAAGAGGCAGCTGGTGAGCCAGACTGGAACCACGGCTCTGCCACCACTTCCTGCTGGGGCAGGAGTGAGCAGAGGAGTCTGTCCCACTCCAGGCACTAAGCCTACAATTGTCTTAGACAAACCTGCTTTCCTCCCACATAACTGCTGGAGGGAAGGTAATTTTCCCCATCAGCATGGAAAGGCGGCTCCACACTGCAGGTTTCATGTTCTCCAAAATAAATGGGCTGTGTGGTCTTGATGAGTGGGACTCTCAGACACACACATGCATTTTGCCTCCCTCTTTCCCATAAAATCTGTGACTCCTCTACTGAGCTCTTGAATATATTTTCTGGGAATTTAAGGAAAGTGGGCATCCAGGACAGGAGACTCTGGTAATGATTTCCCCATAGGAAAAGCCGTAACATAACAGCATCTTACTAGACAGAGGAAGGCAAGGTTTCATGTCCAAATTCAGACTCTAAATTTAGGAGACCTGTTCAGCAATCCACCTGCATTCCGGTGAGCTGCATTCTGGCTCTCTGCTCACTGAAAAAAACAACTGGATCTCCAGTGAACAGGCAGACAATTTGGTGTCCAGACTGAGGTATCTGCATGTCAAGGTGAATCCCATGCTGGAGAACTGGTGTACTCCAAATTTTGTGTACATAATACAGAAGGCTCCTGTAGGCACAACCCTCCCACTCTGCAGTGCTACCATCCCTTGGTCCAGAGAAAAAAGGCTTCATGACACATTTTATCTTGTGCTTATCTCCTCCCTTGGCAAGCTGAGCAGGGTAAGAGCAAAACAGGTCACTCACGAGAAGACTTCCATTCCCCAGCCAGCAATTGCCGTGAAGATCCGTGGGGGCAGGTCCCTGGAGGGGTTTATGGCATAGCCTGTGTTCAGCCCCATTCCCAGACCAATGCCCACGACCAGGATACCCGTGAGCATGGGCTGAGCGCCTTTGACAGCTGCGTTGTTTTTGTCATCATGGATTACTAGAATACCCAGCATCAGCATAACTGTTGCTGTAAACTGCGGGAGCAGAAAAGGGAGAAGAACATGTCAGGAGAGAGGATGGGGATGGTTGAAAGATCCTGCTCAGCAGAGGAGAAGACTTCCCAGAATGAAGGAGCAGATGAGATTCATGGTCTGATCAAGGCAGGAGGGACCCAAATATTACTCCTTCCTCACAGGTGGACTGAAGAAAATTCTTTTCTTAGCAAAAATCTCATCACCAAGACTGATACAAACTTCTGAGCAAGGTCATCTGTCTCTATCAACCACTCAGGGAAATGGTTTATTTTAAGTACATTCTGTCTAATAAGAGCAGAGCCATAACAAACTGCTCACGAGACAAACCTGATCACCTCTAGAGGAAGTGATGTTTTGAACAGCCTGTATGCAGATATCAGATTCTCACCTGGGAAACTGAATTTCCCATCAGTGACTACATAGCTGGCATTTGTAGATTTGCAGTGCCCAGGACATCAGGAAGCATGGTTTTGACAGAGGTGATGACACCTTCCTCTTTCTGCTTTAGAAAATGCAGCTGGAGAGACTTGGACTGCTTGCACAGACACCAGCAAAAACAGAAAACCAGAAGCTGTAGCTTTTGGCAAGGCACTGTCACTCTTATTTTCTTTCTTTTGCATCAAGGACACTGGTCCACAGAGGGCTGAGGGGATCCACTCCCCCCCTCTAGGCTCTTTCACCATCCTCTTCATCGTGCCCAGGCAGGAGTTTTATCAGCTCAGAGTCCAAATCACAGGCTTCCAAAGATTTGCACTGGAAGTGAATCTTCCTTCCCTAATGTCTCAGTGCCCCACATCCCCATGAAAAATCCCTTCCCTATTTCTGGGCATCTGGACACTGCACCGTAAGCTGAGAATCCACTGCACACAGTCTCAATGGATCTGTTCAAACACAGAGTTCAGTCCAGGCTGTGCTCATGTGGAGACAGTCCCAGGCTCTGTGCTGGGGAGGGGCAGCCAGCACAGCTGCTGAGGAGCATGGAGAGGGTGTAGGACCCAATAAACAAAGGAAAGTGCAGCCCAGAACCCAGAGGGGATGGCTGGTGATACAGCTCAGCTTCTCACTTCTCAGTGCTTGAACAGCATGCAGGGAAGTTGTCTGGAGAGCCCCTGGACCAAGCTGTGGAGCAGCCATCATGGATTAGGCTCTGAGATCTTACCTTTCAGATGCCTGCCTGGATGCTGGGCTCCTTGGGAAAAGAGGTTGTGGTTGTCTGTGCATGTAGGGCACTGGGGACCTGTAGCAGCCCTGCACCACCCACCTTCTCCTGGCCCACAACAGCCATCTCCACTGACCTCTGAGAAAAAGGCTCCCTGCAAGGACACATTGGAAGCAGGGTACGTAGCGAAGATCATTGCTGTGGCAGTTGGTCCTGTCACTGTAAAGCTCCCATTGGTGTAGTCATAAAGAGCATCTAGGAGAAGTGGGAATTGTGGAAGTTAGCACAGCATTTCATCCCACAGGACACACACACAAGTACACCTGTTGCAGCCACCGCAGACATTAGGGAGAAGGGAGGCAGTGGAAGACGTGATGGAGGTGACACACTCCTCACAGAGCATGATCTCACCAATATGTTACCTACAGACTTTGGTCTGCACTCACTTCCTTACACCTATCAGCTCCCTATTCCTGCTCCAGGAGCCTGGGGTGGCCTGGGTGGTCTGGATGCACTGGAGGTCTCCAACCCTCTGCCCCTCAAAGACATGCTAGAAACAATGGGTGGTGGGCCTCTGCTCACAGCTCAAAACCCCAAATGGCTGCAAACCTGTGCTCCACAGAGCAGTAGAGTTCCCCCAGAGCTCCAGCAGCACCTAATACATGGTAGTTCATTAAAATAAAACCCCTGCAGACCTGGAAACAAAATGCTGACAAAATGCAGCTACTGCCCTTCTGCTGAAGACAGGTCTTGGAAGTGGGAAGCCCTGAGAAAAAGGAGCTGTGTTCTCTGGTTTGTGTGTATCCTTCCCAGAGGTGTATCTGGGACCTGCTCTGAATTCAGTCTGTCCCACAACCCAGGAGCTTACCCTCCTCACCCAGAAATCGTGCTGGGTACTGCAAAAGGATATCTTTTGACAACACTGTGGGTTGACTGAAATTATGACTACAGCAACCTCTGTGATAAAAGACACGACCCTACCGTAGTAGAGAACAAAGACGGTGGCTGCTGCCAAAAAGGAGCCCAGGAACTGGCCGAACACATAAGCTACAGCCGTTTTCGGAGAGATGTTTCCTATAACACACTGTGTGATTGTGATGGCAGCATTCATGTGAGCTCCTGCAAAATCACAGAAAAGAGAGGCCTCAACACTGATGCAGCTGTTTGGGAACATGTCACATGGTGGATGCCCCATCCTTAGAAATATTTAAGGCCAAGTTGGACAGAGCTCTGAGTAACCTGTTCTAGTCGATGTTTCTGCTCTTTGCAGGGCATTGGACTGGATGAACTTTAAAAGGTCTCTTCCAGCCCAAACTATTCATTGGTTCTGCGCCCCATGCCTCGCAGTAATCACCGAGACAAAAGCTCGAACAACAAGACTCAGGTCAGGGTATTGCTCCTGCACAAACACAAAATGATCCTTTCTCTCTCTACAGCTGAATCATGCAGGTAAAAGAGCTCCTAGCTTGTCTTCTAAGAATTCTGTAGACCACAGGCTGCCTCACCTGTCAGATATACCGCCTCTTGGGGAGGTATGTGTTTCTCTATGAGCTTCTCCCTACTGAGCTTAAAAAGAGACCATACTTCAGCACATTTTATGTAGCTAGTGGTAGATTAGGACCTTGTTTTGATGGAACACTTTCTGGAGGAGGTTGGTATCACAATGGTGGTTTTGAAGACTAAGTGGGTCTGGGTCTCATGCCCTTTGATGCAAACCACATGTGCTCTCTAGGCCTCCTATCCCCAGAAATCTAAAGAAAATATTTATTTTTCCTGCTTGATAGGTACAAACTTTGAGGGTCAGTAAATGTTCCAGCCTTCATGACCATCTTCTACTCCAGAATGACAAAAGGGGTAAGATGCAGACACCCATCAAAATGCAGGACAGAGCGAAGTGGAAGTGCGTGTACCACCTGCAACAGTCCAACAATCACAAATGGAATGGGGCTGATCCATTCTTAGATCCTCTGCTCTTTTGTGGGTATGGCCAGCCATTTCAGAGACCACAAAAAGCATCTTGTGACACAGATGAAGCCAAATTACTATGTCAGGAAGGTGTGAAGTTTGTTTTGTAACCATACTATTGCTGGCTGAGCTGAGATCCCTTCTGCTCTGCCCTCAACAGATCAGCTCCTTCTCAAGAGTCACTTGGGACTGTAGGACCTACTTTCCTCAGTCTGCTTTCCCCAGAGTGTTTCCACCAGCTCCAAAAGGATAAGAAAATCAAGAGCTGACTGCTCCTGACTGCTCACATGGAAAATTTTTCCTTTCCAAGACAACCCCAGGTTTGGACCTCTGTCTACTCCAACAGTTTAAGAGCAAGGAGTTGCTTTTAACCTTCTGCCTATTAGGGTCCTTAATTTTTTTCTCTTGGTGCAAATGAATGCAGAAATTGCAGAAGGCAAAGGTAATGCTCTTGTCATGTGATGGATGCCACCTCATGGCCCCAAAACACCACTCCCCAAGTTCGTGTGAGGCATCTGTGCATGGGTGTGCGTGATAAGGAGAAAATTTGCATAGCATTTCTATTGCAACATCAGCAGTAAGCTCTCCTTTGCAATAAATTATTTAGTTCCCCGTGGGTTGTATCAGCAGCAGATTTTGGGAGCTCCCTGTCCATGGGCTGTGTTGGCATGTCCCAAATGAGGGAGCTGCTGAACCCTGGCTCTACTGTCCACAACCGAAGGGACTGGCCAAACCTCCTCCCCTGTCCCTGTCCCCCTTGCCCTGTCACAGCTCAGAACACGAGCTGGGGTCAGTATTCTGTAGGTATGCTGTGCATGCCTTGTCCCCAGGCTCTCCTGCTTTTCATGCCTGGGGACTCTAGGATTGCTTTTTTTAGGTGAGGGCACTGTCCGTGCCATAACACACCCCTCCACAGCCCACTCCTCCTGTTCCCAGCGCACATGGCCCTTTTGGGACATGGATATGTCCCATGTTTGACTGTGCTGCTCACCAGATATTTTTCCAGCCGCATAGATACCCAAGGTAACACCAATGCCAAATGCTATGTTGATGCTCAGATACTGACCAACGCTTCCTTTTCCCAGTACCACTTGTGCCACACAGGACAAGCCAAAATCCTGTGTAAAAAGAAAGAGAGAAAGGAGTGTTAAAAGTATTCTTGTTGCTGCGGTAGACTGAGCTTCTTTGCTAGTATTTCTGCAAAAGTAATGAGTTCCTAAAGACAGGAAGTCTCTCAGGTGTCAGAAGAAAAAGAACAGCCTTGCCCCGAAAAAACGGAAGTGATACCTGTGATTGGTGCCCATCAAACCAAATTAGGCACTCTTATTATGGCTGGGTATGGGGAGACAAACCCCAAACACTCACACCAAGAGCTGGGCTCAGTGGGGTCATTCACACAGCCACACTGCAGATGTCTCTGCCTGAAACCAGGGGCATGGACTGGGGGAGCATCACCGTGGACCACTGGGAGAAAACATCCAAGGTGGACTGAAGGAGGGTGTGCAAATTCTTACTGTCCTTCTTTTCCTGGTGTGCAATTTATTGACTAAATATGTCATTTGGGCAGCACGCAGCTATTTGCCAAACTCGACTCTAATTTTGGTAACATTCAAGCAAAAGACAAGAAAGGAAATTCTGGTTTGACTTTTCCACTCAATACATATATTTTAAGGTTGGAAACAGCCAAAGTTTCAGTGGGTTTTTTTTAGTGACTGAAGGAGAACCAAGGGGAAAAAAACTAGAGATAAACACTCTTCAGCAGGAAAACACATATTCAAGACATTGCTCTGTCCTGAAAGAGAGAATTCTATTTCATGCTTTTGATGTGGGAAGAGTGGAGAAATCAGTTCTTTGCATGCTCTTACACTGAAATCTAGAGAAGGACAAGGCATTGCTTGAGGTTTCTGCCTCATAAACCACTGAGGGTTTGGAAAGTGTATCCTGTTCCTTGGATTGCATTGATGTTTATCCAAGGTGACATGTCTTTCAAAGACACGAAAGTCAATATGTTCTCCAGCACATAAACTTCTGATTTGGCTTGTACTATTTAGATGTGATTTTTTTCTGGCTACTCTGCCTGCATCCAAATTTTATCTCATGTGTCTGCTTCCCCTCACTGCTTTCAGACATCACCCAAATTCCCTGTTCCCCAGAGAGGCTGCTCTTCCTATCACTCCTGTAGACACAGACCACACTCTGTGCTCTGCACAGAGCTACAGCCCCACAGTGTGAGCCCTTTCAGTCTGCCTCAGCAAAAGCCCCCAGAAACAGTTTGTGATGTCCCCTTAGCATCTGCAAATTACACAAATTCTCTCTCTGATTGTTCCATCTATCTTTTTCACCTCTGATTTTTCCAAAGCCAGATACAAAAGACAACAAATGTGTAAGGCTCAAGTTTTGCAGGAGAGCACACAGGTGCAGAGAGGGTTGCAGAGGAGGAGACATGACTGCGCATAAAGAACAATATCCTGAAAAAAACCCACAAGAGAGGACACAGAATGTGGTTTTCAGCACAGATCCAAACTTCTGTTTTCTCCCTGCATCCTCACAGCCCCAAAACACCATTTATTTCAATTTCTTCTTCCCTAGTCCTTAGTCCTGCTGCCTGGTTCCTTTTACCAACACTTCTGTCCATTAAACTGAGAGGCCCTGGGGTGAGTGTTATCATCCAAACAACAGCCATTCAGGCATCCTGGAGGTGCATCCAGAGCACAGCCTCTTGCACTGAGGGCCAAGGTGCTGCTGAGGAGTTGGGAGATCTATACTTTGTTCTGATGCTGGATGCTGTTTGTCTTCAGCCCTTGATGGGGCCCATGGGCAGTGCCTTCCTTTTCTCTCTTCCCTCACATGGATCAGTGAAGGAAGAGCCAGTGTGAGCTGCAGGCTGCAAAACCTGCCTTGAACTGTCAGAGTGCAGAGTGAATTCTCCACCTCATACTGCTTCTCTGGCAGGACAACCCTGAAATTGTTCTTTGTCACCTGGGAACTTCTACCACCAAATAACGGAGAATGGAAAAGGCAAAAGAATTTGATAAAATGCTGCAGAGGAGTCATAGATATCTGTACCCTGACTTACTATGGGTGCAAAACTACCTGGGAGTGAAATTCAAACAGCTGGAGGTGCAAAATTACATGACAAAAAGCGACCATGCTCAGTACAGGCAGTTTTTGTCCTTGTAAATGAGCACCTTTCTTGGTACAGAAAGCTATGTCAGAAGGTCCCTATGCTTACCCAAAACTTAATTTCTTCCTCTTTAAATCTCCAAGTGCAAGTTATTTAGGTTATGCCCAGCCTTTGCATGCCAGCCTCTGTCCAGTCTAAAGTGTCTCATCCCAGGCTAAGTCCAGGTGTGGCAAATTGGCACAGATAGATACTGGCCCTTCTCAGAGGGAGGATCTCATTCTGCTCTGCTGATCAAACACTCAAAATCTCTGGTCCCAATGGGTACTTCACCCCCACCAGCCCCTACAGTGACTGCAAAACCTTCCTAATCCTCTACCCAAACATTTCTGAAGCAGCCCACAAGCTCAAACCCACTTAATTATTTCTTTGTGAAACAGATCCCTCAGGCAAGGGGGCAGTTTATCTATGATTTACATAAGCACTGTTCGATTGGCAGCAAGAAAATCAAAAGTGAAATCCTGGCATGCTTCACACCCTGTAATTACATTTCCTAATGGTGGGTTGTTGTGGTTCTGGAGAATTTCTCTGGAAAGTTCATTACCCTGGCAACACCAGGGGGAAGAGGGATGAACGCTATTTTCATTTTGCAGCAGCTGTCAGTGATAGAAGAGGCTGGGTCTGTTCCCCAGACCAGTTCAGTTCCCCCCCAGCTACACCACACCTCTGGCACAGCAGAAGGAAAAGTGTCCATTCACTTTATGGGATCTTCTACAAGCATTGTGGACACTATTCTTTTGTTTCATTCCCAGACTCTTCCTCAATTTTCTCCTAGAAGAGAGCTGAAAGAGCAACATGTCCAGGAAGGGCAGTGGAGGTGGGAAAGGGTCCTCAGGAGCACAGGTTTGATGAGGAGCAGCTGCAGGAGCTGGGGATGTTCAGTCTGGAGAAAAGGAGGCTCAGGGAGGACCTGATCACTCTCTCCAGCCCCCTGACAGGAGGGTGTAGGCAGGAGGGCTGGTCTCTTCTCCCATGCAACAAGGCAAAAGGAAATGGTCTCAATTTGTGCTAAGGGAGGATTAGACTGGATATCAGGAAAAATCTGTTCACCAGCAGGGTTGTCAATCATTGGAACAGACTGTCCAGGGAAGTGGTGGGTTTACAGATATTAAATACATATAATACCTTGGAGGTACTTAAAAGACATGTAGTTGGGCATTTAGGGACATGGTTTAGTGGTGGCCTCCACAGTGCCAGGTTAATGCTTGAACTCTTGAAGGTCTTTCCCAACCTAAATAATTCTGTGATATTTTAATTCTATCCCACCCACTTCCCTCACTCCCAGCACCCACCTCCCTTTCCCTGCATTACTTTTTTTGCTCCAGAAGGTTTTTGGCAGATGGTCTGCCTGCTGGGAAACTGCCACCCCACCAACCAACCCCTGGGGATGTGGCAGGAAACCACTGACCTTACACACTGCTGCCTTAAATGGCTGCACACACACACACACACACACACACACACACACACAGACACAGACACAGACACACATGCACATGCACAGACTCCTTACCATGAGGATGAATGTTGATAGTGCTTCCGCCAGCATCTGCCTTATGGTAATGTTATTAATCCTGAACACCTTGTTGACCTTCGCCATCGTCTTGTTGCGGCAGCCTCCGTGCTCCTGTAGTGATGGCACACTTCACTGCACTGAGCCAGGTTACCCTTTGAAACTTGGCACCCTCTCTTCCCCCACAGACACCTTCTCCCCTTTGGTTAACCATGAACAAGCCAACAAAGCAGCAGCTAGCCTCAAAGTCTTTCCCCCAGCCCTCCCTCATATGTCATCCTATGAAAGCTCAATGGTAGGGATGCAATATTTCTGTTATGAGGGCATTGGTGACACCGTGCCTCTGCCCAGGAGAGCCTAACCCCAGAACACTGGAGCTGTCAAAAGCTCTGAGGTGCTCCTGATGCCTGTCTTTCTCCTTAACCTTTTCTACAGGAACTGAACAGGAATTTTGGCTCTGCTCTGCATTGTAACCCATTGACTGTTTGTTTAAGCAGATTGGATTGGGACTGTTTGCCCATGCAAGACTAATGGGTACATCTTCTGCAGCAAGGATGCTCTGCCTGGAGCTGGTTTGCCCTGCTGTCTGCAGCTGGGAAGAGCACAGTGCATTGTTTCAGGTGGAATATTTGCTCTCATTGAATGCACCTGTGCATTCTGCAGATGCCTTCACACTCACAGAGAGCCTTGCCACCAGCCACCCTGTCCATCCTCTCATACAGGGCAAGGAGAAACCAACCTCAGCAAGGAGAGGTGGCCTGAGAGATCTTCAGTCTTACCTGGCTGCCACAGCAGAACCATTGCTGTCCTGATTCCTCTTCCATCTCCTCATTCCCTCTGCCTATCTCCCTGCTCACCAGGTGCTCTTACTTTTCCACGGTGGAAAGGTTTTAATACCTTTGCTTAATCGTGGAAAAACATATCCACTGAACACTCAAGACCTTTTCCCTCAAGCCTTTTCTGGTTATTTGCTGGTTTTCTTCGCCTTCCTCTCAACCTGCTGCAGCTTCTCAGTGTGGCTCTGGAGGGGACAGCTCTGCACAAGTGTCAGCAGCTGCCCTGATAGGGACAGGGTGCTCTGCTCATGCTGCCCCTGCCCCTGCCTCCCTCTCCTCTACTGCATGAGCTTTTCTTTCACCCACAGGGCACTCAGCAGCTGTATGGAAGACCCTGGGAAGCTGATTCTCCTCTCTGCTCCATAGATCATTGTATGTCTTGTTGCAGGGAGAGTTTTATGTACTGGGGTAATCCCTCCTCCAGTGACAGATTAGCTATTGACCTTAGTGAACACCTGGCTAAATATGCAGTAAATTACTGGTCTGTCTCTGATACTGAGGATCATTTAATTATGATGGATGATAATCATGTTGCTTGCGAGGGTGTTTCTACAGCACATTTCTAGGTGGGATGGTTTCTGTCTTGTGGGTCTGTGGCCTGTCCTGCAGCATAATAAACCTTTCTAGGTCACTTCATGCTCTCCCATGCAAATGTTTACTGATAGAGCACAAAGCATGGGTCCTGGACAAGACCCTCAAGTTTCTTCTGCTCATGGTGATTTCCAGCTGACTTTACATGTCACCTGAAATCCTTGTGTCTCCACATGCTGGAGATCTCACAGCCTTTCTCTGATGGACAAGGTGTCAGTGGGTCAGTGACACCCACAACTGGACCTACAACTTTGTTTTGTCTCCTGCATCTCAGGGAGCCTTCCAAGTGGATTCTTTCCCTGTGGGCAAACAGTGAAGCTGCTGTGTGTCTGATAGGCTTTGGCTCCTGCATTCAGGCATTAGTTGTAAGCATCTCAATATTCTGATTCGGGCTGAAAAACAAACAGCCAATTTCTGGGAACATTGGGTTCTGAGGGACTTGCAGTCTCCTCAGGGAAAAACACAGTCCCAGTTTGGTTTGGTGGTAATATTTGCAGCATAATTCCCAATATTACCATCAAACTCTATAAAATTCCAGCATGCTTCTAGGAGCTTGTGCTTTTATACAGGTTGTTCCACAAGATGGCACTGAGACATTAATTTCTCCCCTTAAGGTGTTCTGAAGGACTCCTCTGTTGGCTGCTGAAAATGCAAGAATCCTTTAATTTTGAGGTTCTGGTGGCCATTTTGAGACATTAAAGTGACCTGCTAGTGTTCAAGGACTGTAAATATAATGAAACCATCACCTTTCCAAAGGTGATGTAGGTCAGAGCGCCTCTGCTCTGCGAGTACACAAAGTGTGTGAGCCTGTGCCTGAGTTTATAACAAGCAGAGAAAAATAGGCAGCTCCAAAGGGCAATTCTTCCTCACCTAAAATAAGCATCTGGTGCCCAACCTGAGTCGTGCTAGATACTGGCACTTTCCTTCCAGTGTCTGCACACAGACATGGAGTGATGGGTTCCAACCCAGTGTCTGCACACAGACATGGAGTGATGGGCTCCAACCCAGTGTCTGCACACAGACATGGAGTGATGGGCTCCAACATGCACCCCCACGACCGCCAGGTGGGCTGGACTGCCCCTTCTCCCTGCACCCAGACATGATGATCTTGAGCAAGTGCAAGCCAAGTGAGTCAGCCAAGGGCTGGATTGCAAATATCTGCCGGTTTCCCAACAGCAACATGCCCATACTTGCTGGGTTTCACTTACCCGCAGGGCTGACAAGGATCTCTGGGGTCACTAAACACTGTCCCCTACTGACACAGGTAGCCACACCATGTCTGCTCTTTGGTGACCTGGCCACCCTGAATTTTAGTGGTAGATGAATATTGCCCAGCTTCTGTTGTTCTCTGTTACCAGAATTTGCTGCTCTGAAAATTAGATGCTTTACTCTGATTTTCAGCCAAATTCTCAAAGCCATTTGTCCATGTGCATCATTAGCCCATCACAGTCATGAGTTAACTTAGTTCTTGCAGATGCTATTGCTTAGTGATCCTGTAAGGTTTGTTAAAGAGCATTGGCTGCTCACGCTTAGCTCCCTCCATACCACCTCCTGATGTTTGCTTTGATACCTTCACAGGTTGAAACTTCACTCAACAGTGGTCTGACAATGATTTTGCCACATTTCCCACTTCACATTAAGCAGCCAACTGCTAAACCAAACCCACTTTCCTCCCCAAGACAGGTGTGCTTTCAGCACTACTAATAAAAGTCTCAGTTTGGAAAGGAAAGTTTTGGCACAGTCAATGTGTGCTAACAGTTCTGGTGTTGATATCCAAGGTAATGGAGAATCAGGAGAAAAATGCCCCTGGGTCCTGCAAGAGCAGTCCAGGGCATTCAGCAAGGAATAACTTCTCTGACTCAATTTGGACAGTGCACGTGCTTCCTCTGCACCCAGGAGCTCATTTATCTCTTAACTGGGCTAATCAGCAGGTGGAACATTGCCACTCCGTTCACTTCAGCCCTGCTGGTGGAGCTTTTTCTCCCCAGAGGCCAAGAGGAGCATAAACAGAGAGCTGAGCAGAAGAGCTGCTCACCATGGGCAAGAACAGCTTGTTCCTCAATCTGACCAGATGAACAGGGCACTAAAATATCTCCAGTGCCCTTCAGGAAGCAAGACCCAGTCAGAGATATCATAACAGCACTGATATGGCCTTTGCTGTGCAGGACATAACCTGGAGCACCTGCTCCCTGTGGTCTCATGTTCCACACTCATGGTCTGTCTCCCTTTCTTCTCTGTGGATGGCAGGCCCCAAACAAGCCTCACACACCCCATGTGTCTCTCAGCAGATGTCTTTGCTCTCTATATCACCATCCCCTCTCCATTCCCAGGATAGTGGCCTCCTCAGCCTTTCAGCTCACCCATTGTCCCTTGCCCTGAGGCCAGACAAAAGTTCATCACCTGCTTCTCTACCATAAACTCAGACTTGTTCCAGTCAGAAGTGTTAGGTGGAGATCCTTGGTCATTCACGGGTGGGCTCCTGCCTTGGGCAGGGTGCTGCCCTGCCCAGCCTGCTACAGCTTCAGGGCTGCTGCAGCTACAGGGCTACTCAGAGAGAGGTAATCCATGAGGTAATGCTGCCAGCAGGAGCAGAACTACTTGTCTTTGTTTGTCTTTAGGGACAGAGCAGGGTTCTGTGGGATGTGGTTGCCAGGAGTGGTCCTGGTCTCATTGTTGGGCAACAGAGTGGAACCCTCCTGCTCACCAGGAACCCATCCACCACCCCATGGTGGGCCACAATCCTCCTGCCCTTGTCTGACTTATCACACAGGATGAAGTTATTCTCAAATAGAGCAAAGCATGATGGTTTTTGAGGCACCCACCAGCTCTGATCTGTGAAAATCCCTGGAAAATCTCCCCCACTCACAACTATTTAACAGAGTGAAATGGAGGCACAGGAGTAGATCAGGTCATAGAATCATGGAATGTCAAGGATTAGAAGGGACCTTAAAGAACATCCAGTCCCTATCCACCCTTGCCATGGGCAGGGACCTCTCCCACTACACCAGGTTGCTCAGGGCCCTACCCAACTTGGCCTTTATGGCTGGCAGGGATGGGGCATCCACAGCTTCCTGGGCAGCTTCTTCCAGAATCTCACCATCCTCACAGTAAAGTATTTTTCCTAATATCTAGTTAATATTTCCCCCCTTTCAGTTTGTACCTATTACTCCTGTCCTATCCCTACAGCTCCTGACAAAAGGTCCCTCTCTGACTTCCCTGTGGGCCCTTCAGATATTGGAAGGTTCCTATAAGGTCTCCACACAACCTTCTCCAGGATGAACAGCCACAACCTTCTCAGGCTGTCTTTGTAGGGAAAGTGCTCCAGTCTTCTCATCAACTTAGTGGTCCCCTCTGGACTTTCTGTAGCAGTTCCATGTCTTTCTCATGTTTGGGGCACCAGAACTGTAAGCAGCAGAGATCCCAGAAGATACCATGGGATTTCCAACAAGAACATGCTGGCTCCTCACCTGCCATTACCCCTCATTTCCATGGGCATCTTGTTCTCCTGGCCTGCTCAGGGGCATGTTCCCACTCTACCCCTCTGTGTGAGAGCATCCCCCTGTGCTGGGACTCTGCTGTGTGGCTGCACGGGCCCAGGCAGAGAGCAGTAGACTCTGTGGGTTCAAGTGTTCTCTCTGAGCCTTGAGCTGCCTGCTCTGCTCTGCTTTCAATCCACAGATAAAGTGGAAGCTGGGGAAGCCATGGGCTCACA